ATTCGGAGAATCGTTCTGCATTTCAATGCCCTCAGAAAATCCCTGCTAGATCGATGGATGGCGTCTAGAAATCCAGAAGTTTACAGGTAATTCAACCTACTTAAAAATTTAAGTAGGTAGCTACAATACATAAGGACCCAAAAACGACCGCTAGAGACAACCTCACCGAATATCCTTATTTCAAGTTCTTCAGGCGTCTGAATAGACTGTCCTTTACATAATGCCAGCATTTGTTCATTTTCGAAAATTTCGAGGAACGTACACTTCGCCGGTCGATCTGTTCGTAATGGGCATATGTTTCCATATTGTTTGTTTGTGGGTTTTCCAATATATTAACTCCATAAATTTAGTCATGCAGACGACTATTTAAGTATTTACTGATGTTCGCTCTTATAATCCCTGCTGCATGATTGGTAGATACAAATAATCTCTATTTGGCTTATCACAACGTAGAACTCCTGTTTCGTATCAAACGACATTGTTAAAATTCCAACCAGTCTTCAAAGAAGCTAAAGTATAAGCTTCAGAAAAACGTTACCGTTAGAGAAATGAAACGTTATATTGGAAACGTTTTCCATTAGCAAGTTAATTTGCATAAACCTTGTTGCTGCGTACTTCCACCACGTGCTTACAACTAATCATTTAACAATAAAATATTAATAACCTTTGTTAGGCTGAGTAACGTTACCGTAAATGGATACTATAAGGACCAATGCTGGCATATTTGCCGTCACGGGTCTCTCAAATATAACTCTCCGCGGCTTAATAAACCGAGGCTCAAACAAGCCTGGTAGAATGAAGGGCAACGTTCTAAACCACTTCAAAAAAGCGTAGGCGTCTTAGAGATTGAGGTTGTGTTTGGTTGACTGATTTTTATTAATCCTCCGGAAGGAGGTAGTTTAACCTTTTATGTCATTCCCGGCAAATTCGTACTCCACAAACAAGTTAAGCTAAATTTCGAGTGTTCGAAGGACTCACAATTAAACTGCAAGGCAGAACGGATGGCAGGTGTTTCGTACCCAATCTGCGTGTGGTCATCTAGTATTAATAATCTAGTATTAATACACTTACATCGGTTGTGTCAGAAACGCCGCGGGGACCTAATTGACATATTAATGGGAACGACGGGTACCTTGATTTATTAAAAGATAGCACACTTAATTTCAAAATAATTCTCTGTGTTAGAGAGCAGATAAGCCAACAATTATTAAACGATTTTTAAATTTTAAATTTTAAATACAAAGATATTTTTAAGGATAAGTGTGCACTTCTTGATGTATGCATCATGCGGAATCGTTGATTACGTGCGGGTTCCACTGGTTTCCATTTATTTTAAGGTGTTAATGGCATGCTTTAACAAGCCAATTTCTTTGTCGACATCTCACGTTGCATGCAAAGCAACCTACTTTCAAATGACGCATGGACGAATATTATTGAATGGACGACATATGCATTATCTAATTTTTAAATATTTTTATTTTCTTACACTTGCATAGCATACCAGTTAAATGAGAAAACGCAGCAACAGTTCGGATTAGTGATTTTACAAATATTATTTGCACAAAAATTTACAATTTGTTGGTTATGTAACTACCGGCAGTTAACGCAAATAGTTCACACATTCGAAGCCTTCTTCTAAAAACGTAGTTGGCGTGCAATGTCAGTGAATTTCGTTAGGGATGTGCAGTCATTACTGCGTTAATCCAGCTGAGTTTCGGCGTCTTCAATGCAAATACATCGAATCCTATCTTGCATATATAGGCGGCGAGAGAAGGTACGCCGTAGAGAACCCATTTGGATCCATCTTGAGTTAAACAGTGCGGTCCCTTACCGCTGTCACTGTCACAGCCGCCCTGAAAAAAACGAGGAATACAACATAAGAAAAAAGAAAGTGGAAAGAAGTGCAACGTCCTGGTTTTACATTTGCAGAGTAGAGCCTTTACTGTCAATTCTTACCACTTGCGCGTTGTACGTACAAATTGTATCGTAATCATCAAAATATAGAACTCTGCTTTTGCACTAAGACGTTGGCGAGATTTGAATTCCTACCTCCATCAGTGTTTCCGGATAATCTGGGAGTAGCTCATGAGGTGGATGAGGAATCCGTCCCCAGCCAGCAAGTTTGCAAAAATACCCAGCAGGAAGATTCAGCCCACGCTCAGGAAAACAGGCATATTCTGTAACCGATGCTTCGAAAAAAGTAGTAAAGAGTATGCATTATTAAAGTAGCAAATCTATGAGAGTCTGCCGTCAACTGTCTTGTCTAAACAAAGCGTTCGTATGCTTGAATAGTTAAACCTAAAAGCCCTTTATCATGACACATCCAAAAAAAATACTTGCTGCTTTTTTTACCCGATATGATGAGAATATATCTTAAGCTTAGGGCGTACGATGCTCACTATCAGCTCTATACCTGGTAATATATTCGAACACAAACATGATTTTAATCCAACAACGATATGCCATAAGGCGGCGAATACTTCGTATCTCCAATTCAAAAGCAACTACCCAGTTATTTACAAACACAGTTTTCGTAGGTGCCCCTTCTTATGCGCTCAGACACACTCGAGTAACGGCAGTGAAAGAACGAGGAGGCTAAATACTAGAATAGTCTATTTCAGGTCAACGGTTATTCGAAATCCTTCTTCTCTACATTAAAAACGTATCAAAGGCGACTAAAGGTCTCCTGAAACCATTCGGGATCGGCGTAGCTCATATGCCAGCGTCAGCCTTCAGGTAGCAGATCATAAGGTCCAATGACCCGCAACTTTTGATACAACATTCAGGCAGGTTCTACAGCATGCCATGCCAAAACTAGGTTGCATTTTATGTTGGTGAATCAGCAAACGCGTTGGCACTAGGCTGCATAAGCATCTCCTTGCAGCCAGCCATGAGTACAAGCTGTATATGGTATATAACGAATAACACCACAGTAATCAAATTTATTCTTTAAACGCAAGAGAGATAGACCGAGCAAATTAGAAGATTGTCAGATAGCTGATATACAGTTGAACATCGACTGGCACATTTACCTAATCGGTATTACTTAACCCCACCCTATCAAGCGGTCCTTACAAGACTAACTCCCACTCAGAAGGGAACACGATGTCGGGCGAAGGACATTACGCAGTGCCAAAATCAGGCAACTGCATGCAAAGACGCTAAGAACGATTACGAGGCAACCGAATGACGTGATACGTTTTCTATCAGCAAATTGATCGATGCGTGTGAATCAGGCTCGGCAATGACAGGCGGATAGCGGTAAAACACGTTAATTCGAAGTCGGTAGAAATATAGCCAGTGCTCTATGACGATCTAAATTAGAATGCTTTTGAAACGTCAGTCAAAATATAACTTTGTCATGGGAATTGTCCCATCCTCTTCTCCGTAAGCCAGGGACGACGTTTACCCTTTAAGAAAGCAAGGAAGATAGTCCGAACAAATGAAAACAAATGACAGTTGGCCGTCGATTGGTACATTAAACGGACACAACCATTTGATCCCACCTACCAAGCCCCCCTCACAAAGCTAACGTTCGCTCAGAAGGGAACACGATGTCGGACGAAGGATATTACACAGAGGCTAAAGCCGGCAAATGCGTGCGGAGACGGTGAAAACGATTATGATGCGACCGAACGAGGTGACACGTCTTCCCAACAGCATACATTCTGTACAATTGCTCGATGCGTCTGCATCAGGTTTGGCCATTACAGGAGGCTAGCGGAAGACACAATGATTCGAAGTCGGCAAAAAAAAAGCCAGTGCCCTATGGCGATGATGACGATAATGTTTTTGAGACGTCAGTCTACGTATAACTTGGTCTCGTGATTTGCCCCATCTTCTTCATCCTCTGCCAGGGACGTTTAAAGTCAAATGTATTACGCACTGCGGGTGACAAGGCTCAGTTTCGTAACTGTTGTACATACCATGGCACACAACCCCTTGATTAGATTTTAAGAGGAAAATAAAATATATTAACACATTTGAATGTAGTTTGGGTGCAAAGTAGTGCTAAGACGTACTTCGTTTGACTGCGCGATTCATTTGCAGGAGTGCGATGTCATGGCCAGAGGTTATGCTGGCGTTGGTGTAGGATGGATGCACAATTACACCTTTCACTCGCATGTTGTAGGCTGGATGCTGACGCTGCGTGTAGTTATGGTCTGCGACAGTTACCGCCATATGTTCTCCAGTGATATCATGATAGGAGAAGAGCCGACCAACTGTGGCATCGTTGCATTCAAGGGCAGCGAGGATGCAGTGAGCGGCCGTTAGCACCCATTTGGACGCAATCAGTGTTCCTCCACAAAACGGAAAGGGACCCAGGGCTGAACTGTAGACTCCAACCTATGCAAAATTAAAACAACGCGGTTCATCTCATTTAAAGTCATTTGCAAAATTGGAGAAGTTTGTAGTGAAGCCTACGTTCGGCTTAATTATTGATGTGTTGACCGGATTTGACGTTCACAACGTGCCTATGAAAAGGCAACGGCATCCGCTGGGTTCAAATAGGAACACTGGAAAGCACGCAGGTTTATGGCGAAATCTGACATTATATTTATGGATCAACCCCCTATGGTTTTGTTTGCTGTACAGGAAATTGAGTTTTTTCTGATTAGCGACACAAGTGTTTTCAATATGCAACATACAGATTAAGACTTGTCCATATATCCCAATTTCAAAATATAAGGCTGCCTGGAATACAGTTCCATTCATATATATTTTGTTCAATGAATACACGATTGAAGTAACCTTAAAGCGTTTATTTATTATAAGCTATTACAACTTGAAAATATAGTATCAATATTCCCATTTAAATGTGGGACGTTATTTGGAGTAAGTAGTTCAGTCTGTGCTTGATCAATTTGTTCCGTTTATTGCTTGGATTTGAGATTCACAGTGCCTGTACAGCCACAGTTATGGCAAAATGCGAATTTGCCACATATCTATGAAATTGTCTGCGCTAGGATATGATCTACTTCAGTAGAAAAAGCCTATCGCGCTTCGCAGTTCACTTTGTCATCTACGGCATTCGATGCTGAATGGCAATGATGCTTCGCAAATAGTTCGCAGTTGCCTGAACTGCCCTCAAATATCGTTGCCGAAATTTTATAATGCACGGTACTGCTAGGCAGAGAGCACGCCGAATTTCACACTGGATTCATGCCCTTCTGCAGTCCAATTGGACGAGGCTACCGTTTGAACTGACCGCGGTTGAATGAACCTCTGCAGAAGGATCAATAAAAATCCGCAGACAATAGACTGTACCCAGACCTCAACTAGCATTAATTTAAAGCATCTTACACATATACTGCATTTATATTATTTTCCAATTTAAATATTATTGTTTCTTTTTAGACATTTTTGTTTTCATTTAAAACAAACTCCCTCTCATGCGCACTATTGATTAAGCATACAACTAAAACTGACCAAATAATCGAGTGGAAAAGAAAGCGTTTGTTTCACTTTTTTCATGTCTTCAAAGGGTTTTGTTGGTGCCCAAGAGGTGCATTACCAGTAAACCTTATTATTATTTGGAGAAAGAGAGTGAGTTGTTTTATTTGAAACAAAGTTAGTGCTATTATTGCCTAATCTTAATACTTAAAAGCAGCCGAAGTCTTCCATTTCAGTTTGAAAGCCCCCCTGGAATAGACGAATTACGCAGATATTTCTCTTACTCAACACGTATTGAACAGAGTCTGTCTAAAGCTATTTATTTGATAATATTTTAATTGATGTTAGGAATATTAATGTCATATTTTGCTGTAAAGTTTACCAAATGTTAGCAATGATTTTATCGTGTTCAGGTGAAACAAGCAGCGATTGTTAAGGAAACCCTAAACTATTTCTTTAATCTGCCACAAATACTACTTAAAAAGTGCATGAGCGGAAAGAGAGCTCAACCAAGCAACTGCTTCCATTTTAATCACATAAGTGTGATTTTACTTTGCAGAATTTAAGCCTATTTTGCGGGCACTGCTATGCCGGAAACATGTATTAAAATTTTTATACTCAATTTTGTTTTCCTTATATCGCTGATTTTCGACACTTATAAAAGTTTATGTAAGCTTCATAACGGATTGGCGATTGATTAGCAATATTTCTTACTTTTGCATGAATTGCATCTCATCATGTACTCAAAGGCTTCATATTTGCATAAACGTTCGATGACTTATAAGCACAAATAAATCGTGTATGACACGTAAATTCAAGAAAATAATATTGACCCCTTCCACAGACTAACATGGCAGGGCCAGCTGTTTGGGTGGGCTTTTATCTTCCGGTTTGGGAAGCGTTCCGGTATCGTGTGATATTTTGAACGTCGCCCACGTTCTTGCGGCTGAACAAACTGTTGAACTGTCACATAAAAGTGCACCAACATATCAGTTTTTATATGCATTTCATTTAATCAATTTATTAACATGACAGTTTTTACTAACATAGAGGAAAACAGGTTTATTCATATGCTGAATGCCTTGTTAGGCAGAATGGTGTAAAAAAAGTATCCACAAAATGTCGTCTAAATTTAAAATGTACTTAATATATTCTTTTTTACTTAAAACGTAAAGGCAATGTATACCCAGTATGGTGATCCAAAGGTAACATCCACCATATACGTAGATAGTGAACCGCATTTCGGACCAGACAACGTAAACGGCAAAAACTGTCAGTCTTATCGATGAAAGACTACGCTGACATGTAGGCGGACCAATACGCAGGAAGAAAAACAACTTTCAATCACTAGTTACTAGTTGTACCTAACAGTGCGCCATTATCTGACTCATGTCGTGAGCAAGCAGCAGACTGCGAAGAAAACGATGGAGGCCAACCATTGGTTGCCAAGCAAGGGGCAATTAGTATCGATGTTTTCGACAAGCATAGAAAAACCCCAAATTTGAAAAAAAAATTAGAATTCCAATTCACGACATAAGAGGAAATAAATAGCCGACTACCCTTCCTCGATGTTCCGGTGCGCCGTTTTTCAACTGGACATCTGCAAACCAGAGTATTCAGAAAAAGCCGCAAACACGAAACAACCACTACACTTCAACAGCACTCACCCTCTGTCTCTCTCTCGAACGTATATGCGTTCGTACTCCTTTCCAATGAATTGAAACACATTGCAGCACTCAAGCTGAAAAAGAGAGTTGAGCAACAAAACCTACATTAACTCTTTCGCCCTAATGGATACCGAACATGTTTTATCAAGGGAATCAGGGGCCGATTGAGCAGACGATGGGCAGCAGTAGAGCATTCTGAATTCTGGAGGGTTATTTCCTACATAAAAGGAGTCTCCGATGAAGTCTTTGGACTGCTAAAACTCACTGGAGTAGGCATAGCACACCGATATCAGGTGACAATACGGCGCCGAGTGATGCAAACTAAGGGCAGACTGCTCTCTACTGAAAACTCCGCATTTGTCTACAAAATGCGTGGCAACGGTGGTGACTGTAATAACGTTGGAGAAACCGCACGCACAATACACACCCGCCTACGGTACAACGAAGCGGCTACCCGGAGACAAAACCCAAACTCACAGCTTCCAACACATATCAGAGAGACTGGCTACGGCTTTGATATTCAAGGAACGAACATCGTAGACCATGGAACCTCAAAGGCTGAAAGGTTGACACTTGAGACATGGAACTTAGATGCCATGTTTGTAAACATGCATCTGGACATCACCGCGGCCTACAAAGTCCTACGCTATATCGTAAGTAACGGATACGACATGGTCAAACCAAAGTCAGGAGTTGCAGACGTAAATGACACTGTGACGAAACCACCGTAAGAGGGAGCAGACTTATCAACATCCTGTCCCGTGGTGACAAAGCAAAACACCAATTGCCGCCACACCAAGCCCTAATCCACACGTTCGGCCAAACAGCGACCAGAGGAAAATCGCGCAGCCCGAGCCAACACGCATAGCCGCAAGTTTAAACTTTCTGATCCATAAAGCCAGTATTAGTTTCGACAAAGGACAGCAGGCCCAGCTGCCGCAAACGCCAGCAACTCCACAAGTTTATTCCGGTGAGCAAAGAATGAATTCTTATAGGGAACCTTTTCTGCACCTTGGCTTAAAAATATCTGTAGTAGTGCAAGCGGACTGCATGGTTCTTAAAGAGAAAATAACTCAGACGGCCGAGACTCCTTTACCCCCAGTGCTGGGGATCTTGGAGCAGAACAGTTTTTTTAAAAAAACATTTTTAAATTAACAGCATGGAACAGGTTCCACTTTATAACTACATCTGACTTACTGCTGTCACCTTCCAAAATCATGGATATTCTTCATTTTTTATATCGAAATGAACTGCGATGCGTGCGCAAACAG